GGTGTCAAACACTTCACGATAAAAAAGGATGAAGACTTGGTGGTGGGAGATGTTGGACTGGTGATTAGAAGTTTAGTGCCTAATACAACAACAGTTTCAGTAGAGTACAAAGGTCACATTACAGGTGGTAAGAAATAAAATGAAGTGAGGTGATTATAGGTAGTGAGAAAGTGAAGTGTTAGGTGCAGACTACTTTTTTAAAAAGTTCAGGGACCAAAGGAAAGAAAGTGATAGGATGATAGTTTGTGAAATAGGTAAGGAAAAGAGTTTTCATGTTTGTTTTTGTTTTTAGAATGGAGAAAAGCTAAACAAGTTTACAGGCAGAATAGAAAATAACTAATAAATGGATTGAAGATTCATAGACTGTCAAAGTTGGAAGGGTCCTTATATAAGACCCTGTTAGTTACTTTACATTTTCCATTGCCCCTTCTTCTCTGACAACTGAACTCAGACTATTTGCAGTGGCAATGTGCCCAGGCCCAGACAAGATACAGTACTTGATTTCCCAGTCCCCCTTGCAGGTAGAGGTGACCATGTGGTAAAATTTTGACCAGTGAGGTAGAAGGGATACCCGCAAGGGCTCTGAGAGAGCTTTTGCTTTTCCTGATGAAAAAGCAAAAAGATATAGCTGGTGTCTCCCCCTTCCTCCTGTTTTCTTCCTTGAGCAAGGACTTGATGGCTGGAGTTGCAGGAGCCATCTGGTGACCCTGAGGCAACAAGAAAGAGGGAAATGATAAGTGAGTCACATAAACACTAGTATGACGTTGTCAAGCCACTGAACAAATACCAACAGCTCCTTAACTACAGACTTCTTACAAGAGGAAAAATAAAAAAATAAAAAATAAAAAATAAGTTTAAGCCACTGTGAATCAGAAACACTCATGCATCCCTTAATGGTGGGGCTACGTTCTGAGAAACGCATCTTTAGGCGATTTCATCTCTATGTGAACATCACAGAGTGCACTTACACAAAACTAGATGCTATAGCCTACTACACCTAGGCTAAATGATACTAATTTTATGGGACCACAGTAATATATGTGGTACATTGTTGGCTGAAACATCATTATGTGGCACATGACTATATATATGTATACTTTTTTTTATTTGCAGCCAAATAAGTTTGCAACTAATAAGGCTTTAAATATCTTTAATCAACCTTCTGATATTTGAATCAGTTCTAAAATTTCTCTAAGTTGTCATCTACCTTATGTTTATATATTTTCAGAGGCAAGACATTTATTAGTTATTAAAACTTTCCAGACCATTTTGGAGGGTTTTAACCATTAGAAAGCCTTCTCTTCTCAAAAACTTCCTACGGTGCCCCACTTCGCCCTTGATCTAACGTTCAAGGTCCTCCATAAACTCATTCTACCCTACATTCCATCTCAATTTTCCTGTGCTCTCCAGCATACATATTCTATTCAATCAGGTCAGCCTTTGTCCCAACAGACCCTGCCTTATTAACATGGCAAGCTCGTTCCCTCTTCTGTGACTTATCTCTTACCGGTATTCTTTCCTAAATCACAGGTCTTTTATGTTTGACTTGTCTAAAATCCTACCCATTTTTCAAGGCTAAATAAAGCCCTACTTTTTCCAGGTAATCATCCCTGGCGACCCCATCTCCCATTGATCTCCTCCTTTCCTCTGACACAGCAAATTGTGACATAGTCTACAAAACATGGTTGACCACTATAGTAATACTTCTCACGTTATTTGTTAATTGTCCCGTGTGGGTTTCTTTGGTTCACTTACTAGAAGGTAAACTCCTTCAAGCCTAAGACACATTCTCCTTATATATTTTCCCCATAACTACTGATGCAGCCTTATGTAAGTATTCAATAATATTGCTAATGAGAAGTTTTTAGAAAATAAATGTATATAGTGCTTAACAGGGCTAATCAACACATGCATAACACACATATACACATACACACGATTTTATGGTCAAAAGTAGAGCTCAACTCAACAGAATTCACTAAAATTTCAAATTTGTGTTTGCTGTTATTTTTAATTATAGATGTGTCTTTCTTTAACTCTCCCCATGTTTAGGAAAAGAGACTGATAAGTCTCTGATTCAGTGGTTGGCTATAACAGTAACACCTACTCTCTAGCATAAAATAGGAAATTCCTATTGTTAAAATATAAAACAAATTTTAGTTAACCAGACTCAATAATAAATCAGACACAAGGCACTTGTACCACCATTATATTCAATTCTAAAGTTCCTCTTTCTGAACAGCTGCAAATTCTCCATATATCAAGTAAGCCAAATGCTCCGCCAGAATTATGAATCCTGTGATTTATTCCTTTTGGGGGAAGGCATCTAAAGATGCCAGCATTCTGAGACAATTTAATCCATCCAGATCTGAGATTCTGTGGCCTTTGATAAAGAAAACACTGTGCTATCTTGAAGTATCAACATCTTGAAGGTCTTGAAGATGGCATCTCCAGGTATGGTCTTGAAGATGGCATCTCCAGGTGTTCTGATGAGGGAACTATTACTTCAGTTCAATTTGCTTTCAACTCCCCAGGAGGTCACTCAGAGGGTCTGGCATGGTGCCATTTATTTGTCACTGCTGGACACAACACTGCTGGCTTCATCTGTTTCATCCCTTGCTCCATATTCTTGGGTGTAGTTTAGTTGCAAATGAGCCACTCTTAGTCTAGGATTTGGCTGCTACAAGTGTTCTTCAGTTTCCTGGCTTCCACCCACACTTTCTTTTCCAGTCTTGCAATTAGAGCTGAGAGGATTATTCTACCTGCTTAACATCTCCTTGTTACTTTGTTTATTCTGAGTGTAATGGCTGGTCACTAAAATATAAAGATGGGTATGGCTTGACCTCTGCTCTAGACAAAAATATACAAGCAATTATCTTAGCTCATAGCTGAGTCTTCTTAAGCATTTGCTATGTGCGAGGTGCTGTACTAATCTCTTGACGTGGCCTGTCTAATGATTCTTTACAATAATCCTGTGAGACAGGAACTATTATTTTATGCTTATGGCTCAAATAAGGAAATGAAGGACAACGAAGGGAAAGCACATACATCTAGGGAGAAGTGAAGTTAGACATTGAAGACGTGTGGTCAACCCCAGCACCCACAGTACAGCTTCCACAAATGAAGAATTGTGTCCAGTACAGAGTGGCAAAGGTTGCAGTAGAGATATGCACTAGAGCCAAAGAAAGGGAGGTCTCGGGGATGGTTTCAAAGGGCAGGAGGTGAAAGTTTGGCAATGCAGACTTGGGCCGGGGGAGACCCAGAACTATTTATGCAAAAGTCAGAGGTGACTACCACAGCGGAAGAAGATTTTTCTCAATCTGGCATCCTCCCAGGGCAGAGTATAAAGACGTTAGGAACATTGGAAGCTGGCCTAGAAAGAGAAGGCAGCTCACAGAACTGGGAGAGAGCAGAAAGGAGAGGGAAAGAACCAAAGATTCACAGGGAAAAATCAAAGAGGGAGAGAGTTTCCAGCGCCTATTGAATTTTGCAATTGGGTCTTCATTATTAATCACAAAAGCTATTATGTTCTTTATGCCAAGCAAAGATCACACATATGAGCTCATTTAATCCTCACAACCACTCTTGAAGTATGTGTTATTATCTGCAGAACAGTTCCAGGGGTGGCTAAGGGCAAAATCCAAACCACAATGAGTTGAGAAGTGGCTGAGTGGGGAGAACAGTCTGCATTTGGGATAAATTTGGGATAAAAAGGATTGAGCCCCTACTAAAGCCTAGTCAGTATGCCAGTCACTGTAGCACTGCTTTCTAATTTCATCCAAACGAAACTCTATTCACCTTCAAAGAAGGAGCTGAGATTTGGAAGCTCAATGTGATTCCCCAGCCTGTCTTCTTTCAATAAACCCCCTCTGCTCCCACAGGGGGGATCAGATAGCTGCAACAGACATTTACTGAGGCCTTTACTGAGCCAGGCCAGGCACTACGCTGAGAATATTTACGTGAATTGTCACATTGAAGCTTCAGTTTAAATGCTAGTTTCATTATTAATAGTGTGGTGATTAAGGGGCTGAGCCCAGGAGTCAGACTCACTGAGTTTGGATCTCAGCTCTGCCATCTATGAGTGTACTTTTGCCTCAGTTTCTTCATCTGTAAAATGGGCTTCCTTGTGAAAATTCTTTAAAGATAATACATGTGAAATATAAGTAACAAGGAGTGCCTAGGGCATGATAAGTGTAGGGTAAAATGTTAACTGGTAGTTTAATCGCCATTTTACAGCCCAGAAAAGAGAGAATGAGGAAGGATCTCAGAGTTAGCAACTCTAAGGGGTCTCTTCCCGGGGTCTCCCAGAAGCCCCTCTACCAAGGTTTCCTGCAGAGAAACCTATTGCGGGGGAACGAGAGGGTGGGGTGGATGTGCCGTGTTTGCTTGTTTATTTATTTGTTTTTAAGATGGCATTGACTCATATTAAGATGGCACATATTTTTCTTCGGGGGGAGATGCGAAGTGAAGATGCAGAAGGAGCCAGGATGGTAAACTCGCAGAGAGACAGGAAGGGATGGCAACCTGGCCCAGGTGCAGGGTCCACGACCTCGATCGGCAGAGGCCCAGGAAAGGAAGCAAGGATGGTGTTCGCCTCTTAATTTTGTTTGGAATCAGAGGAGAAAGAAGCCAGGAAGAAGTGTATTTGCCTCTGCCCTCTTGCTGGCCGGAACACAGCCAACGTTCTTGAAGGGATTAAAAAAAATACACCCTACCCCTCCTAGCCTTTCTTTCTTCCTCGATCTTCTCCTTTCCCCCTCCTCTCCCCAACCACCCCCACCCCTACTTCCTCTTCTCTCCCTCCCTCTGCTGGTTCGCCGGTCACTTCCCCCTTCCCTTCTCTCCCGGCTATAGCAGGGGCCGAGCTGCCTGCGGGGGCGAGGGAGAGGGCGAGATTGGCTGCGGACTGTACAGATCAGCCAGAGAACGCAGTCAGTCTCTCTCTCGCTCGCTCTTGCTCTCTCTCTCTCAGACGCACACACACGCATACATTCAAAACTCCGGCCGGCAGCACCCCGGCTGCTCCAATCCCTGGAAAAGGCGAGCGAGCGCCTCGCGACCGCTGCGCGCACCGCCGCTCGGGCACTGCGCCCGACGCAGCGCTAGTCCCCGTCACCAGCGCTGCCGCTTCAGCGTGTGTTCCCGAAAATAAAGCGAGTAGGGAGGGTAGAGACAGAGCCTGAAAACACCCTGGCCACACACGCCGAGACTTGAGCTCTTGGCGTCCGAGTGGAGACCGCGCCGGCAGCGCCCTGCGCTGGTGAGGTCCGCGCCGCTGTCCGGGAAGAGCCCACCTGCCGGTCCGCGATCGGCCAGCTCAAAAAGTGGGGCTTGGCGCTGTCCTACTCAGGCAGTGTCCGGGGCTCCGGGCGTCCTCGTCCCACCCAGTTTGGAGTTCAACCCTCGGCTCTGCCGCCGACCCCTCGCGCCTCCGGAGTGACCCCACGCGACGCAGAGAGCGGAGGCGCGGCGCCGGGACCTCGCTATGGCTGGGGCGCACAGGCTGCTCTATCTGTGGCTGGGCTGCTTCTGCGTGAGCCTGGCGCGGGGAGAGAGACTGAAGCAGTATTTCCCGGAGCTCCGCAAGGCTGTGCCAGGCGACCACACGGCAGGTGGTGGCTCCGGCCCGGTGCTGCGGCCGCACGACAAGGTGTCGGAGCACATGCTGCGACTCTATGACAGGTACAGCGGCGGTGGCAGGGCCGAGGCGGCGCGGACACCAGGGATCTCCGAGCCGGGCTCACAGTCCCTGAGCCCCCAGCCCTTGCGCGAAGGCAACACGGTTCGCAGCTTTCGAGCCGGAACAGCAGGTGAGTTCCCGAGGCGCCCCCCTTCCACGGTCCCACCCCAGGTTTCTCCCGGGACCCCCCACAGCTGCCTTGTCTGCCCTATGCCCTATAGAGCTACCTAGAGACCTTCCTTCACCATCCAAAGCTGCCCTCGGACCCCTTGGTCCCGTCACACCCCGCATTTCGCCGGGGAGTAAGCCTAGTTTTAGAGTCCGAATTGAGAGGCAGAAGTGGAGAGAAGGGCGCCGAGCAGTGGAGGGGGGTCAGCTGAAGGAACTGCGTGGAAAGAGGGAAGGGGTTACTCCCATCCCCAGCGGAGCCCTCCTGCGCTGGGTGTCTGGAGCACCTCTGGGTACCTTATGCTGATGTTTCTGAAGTCAGTCAGCGGAAGTTCCCTTGGACTGGGCTTTAGCCATGTTTACCTAGAGGCAGATGTCATTTTATGCCAACCCCAGGGCACCGGAGAGAGAAAAGTCACCCTTGTACTAGACACCTTCCCCTTGCCTTTTAGACAGTCACGTCTCTAGACCTTGCACCCCCTCTTAACTCATGTCCTCTGTTACTATATTTGACACTTTCCATTTGATAGTCCCTTGGTGGCAAACACACAAACTAAACCAGGTGCTCCAGTGCTTCGATTATTTAAAACCCATCTGGGCAAATAGGATTGTACCATCCACCCTGGGAGGAGTTGGGGATGGGGAGAGCAGCCATGGATGTAAACACCTCTTGGAATCTGCCGATGAAAATCTGCTCATCCCATTTTTCAACACACAGATCGCTGCGGACTGAAATTCATGGCTTAACAAGGTTTCTCCTGGCCCCTGTGGTGAAGCAAATAACTTATGCTAACAGGCTGCCTCCCTTGTGTTAACAGCTTGAGGGAAAGTTTCCTGGACACTAACTTGGTTTATATGCTTTGAGGATGCACCAGGCTTTTTGGTTCGCTACCTTCCTGATAAAGGGAAATGTAACTGCAAAGCCTGTCTTCAGCTAACCGTTGAAAAATAGCCAGGAACCTTCAAGTAAGGAGGCCATGCCTCATGCTCTATCAATTCTGTCAGAATCACTAGAAAGAAATCTCCCAAAGCTTTGATATGTAGGACTCCTGGAAAAAAGGAAAACTAAAGCATCCATCAAGAAAAGCCCTCGGTTGACACTGTAAATACACTCTAGAGCTCATAGGCATGATGACGTTTACAATAAATGTGAATTATGCTTTCTAATGCAGAAGTCTTTAGCTAGAGTCTGAGCTGAACCAGATTTCACTTTCTTCTTAAAACCATGAGCATAATCTATAAAGAGCTAGCCTCTGCTAAGGAAACAGAAACCTGCTCTGGCTTATCCCCACTATGCCAGCCACTTGAGGTGGCTGTCCTGACAGCTGACCACACCGGTGAATGCCCTGTTTACTCTAGCGAGATTCTGAGGGCAGAGCTCAGTGAAGGAGCTGTGTGGGAGCCACAAGGATTGAAAGAAATTGGGTCGGCAAGGCAGGTGGTAAGAATGAAGATGCTCAAATCACTCCTACCTTGATATTCATTTCTTGGTAATATTCCTAGGGTGTAGCTGAGGCACCCAAGAGACGAATGGTATTTTTTATATCAACAAGTTTCATTTTTACTATGAATCATAAGGTTTGGAGGTGGAATGTGCATTTGTTTCATTCACACATATTGTACAGTTTTTGTATGTTCGTTTTAGGCTAAGTGAACCATAACTGGGAGATGGATAAGGATTTGAATAACTCAGTCTCCATGTACTTTTTGGCTTCAACTCATTCCGTGCATTATAATTTCAGAGTGTCTCTTATCAGCGTCGCTCTAGTCTTATACCATCAAATGATAAACTCTGATACGGAGGCCAGAAGTTCCCTTGAAATGATGAATTGCAGCTTGAAGCATATATACGAGGCTGTATCCTCTGATAAGAAAAGTAATCCCTTTAGCATCCTAGAGACTGTCTTAATGACTTATTCATCACACGTAGACACTGGTTTTTGTGGAAGCTTACGTGTCATGTTACTACACTGGAGACTCCTGGAGAGGTGGTTCATGTTGGACCCCTTCCAAGAGTGTTTAGTTACTAACACACTAAAGAGACCTTATTCTAAGGCAGTTCTGGCTCTAATAAGGCAGGACTCCAGGAAGGTGCTAAGTCTTTCATGTGTATCCCCGTCCTTTATCCATACCCTTCGTCTTGTGACGTGTGTTCTGACATAGGTGAAAGATACTGTCTGCATTAATAAATTAGATGTGTTTTCTGGTCCATAGTGTTTAGGTTTCACAGCGTATGGGCTTCTCTCTACCGACGATATTATAGATTTTAATGGAAGGTCAGGTGGTGTGCTGTATATATGGAGTGGCTGCTGATCCGGCGGCCTTTCCAAGTGCTTATTCAGGCTGAGTTATAGCCTCAGAGCCCTATTTGCTCCTTGGAACATACCTGATTAAAATTATTTATTGTTCTAAACCTAGAATATCTTTGGTTGAAAGTTAGCTGCTGTGGTCTCCCTCTGATTACTTTCTACTTAAACCATTACTTGATGGTGGGTGGCATTCATCCTAAGTACACTTTCTGCTAACCCCTTTTCTCCTCCCTCAACACTGTGCAGTGGAAGTGCCAAAACCATAAGTTTGGAACGCTCATAAGTCTTTTCGTGATGTGTAAGGGTTTACATAAAGATAGGTTTTATCTTTCCCTTTGTAAAAGGTAATTTATAAAATTATTGATGACAGAGAAGTTCAGCTTTATAAAAACACACCATCTTGAAGGAAGACAAGAGGGATATAAAATCAGCTTTTATTTTAATCTTAGTTTAAGTTGTCCTTGGCTACTATGTAATAAAAGAAGAATATTTTACATGAGGTTTTCTTCCTGGCCTGATCCTTTAAGACACATACTTTGTGTTCATCAGTTTCTCATCATTCTTATGGTCACTTAACCTTATTTTTCTTAATCATAAATTTAATCTCTTTAGGAAAAGCCATTAAAGCACACATGTTCTTATTAGAAAACTATCATTATTTTAACTTATGACATATAACTACAAAAAGATTGCATTTCAGTGGATATGTGTCACCTTTTTTAAAAAATCACACAGACTTCATAGATAAAAGAAAAGAAAATTGAGGTAATCTGGACCCAAAAGTGAATATTTTCCTTCAGTGAAAAAAGGGAGAGTCTTTCCTACTATGAACAAAAATCTTCAAAAATAAAGAATTATCATCTGACATGCTTCTGAAGTGCAAGGCTAAAATGTAAGGCTTTGGGAAAGATATAATTAAGGGCTGAAGGATCATTCCAAGAGGAGCCATTCCTGTAAAATACATGGGCCAGTGGGAAAGCATCATTTTTGATGGGTTTGACTACAAGGGGTTATAATAACTTTATTAAAACATAGTTACCTTGAAATTCCTGACACCTAGAGACTAGGCTTGAAATGTAAGAGTACTTAGATTATCTGATGTTTTTATTCAAAGGACAATAGTACATCTGGAGGGGGGAGCTGGATGTGCAGCTGCTTTGAATTACACGCGACTTTCAATACATGATAGCCCTTAATGAAGTTTTTACTGTAATAGGCAAGACAGCTTTACAATCTCTGACATTTAAAAATCCATAATGCCAGGAATTCTTGATTATCCATGCTAATGGAAAGGAGAAAGAGAATGAGTTACATAAAAATAATTTCAATTTAGCTTCTTGGTATAGTTAGATACACTCAGAGACCAAGAGACCATGAGGGTCAATGAAAAAAATCTCGTAAGCAGATAATTCGCTCAGGGAATATTTGTACACTAAAAATATATACATAATTCAGAATATATTAAGAGGTTACATACATTTTATCTAAGCAGTGGAAGTTTATAAGTACTTGATCGACCTGGTTCAGATTTTTCTAAAAATTAAATAAGATGAATGTCAAATCCGCTCTTAAGCATTTTGGAATTATACAATTTTGTATATGAAAGGCGCTTTAAAGAAAGGAATTCCAACCCCTTCCTTATATGGAAGAAGGAATGGGCATTGCCAAACAATTTTTCACACATACTGAGCTCATCTCAAATCCTATTATTTGTAATAATCTGATCTAATTTTCTAGGAGAAAATTTTGTAAAAAGGGGTCTTTGGAAGATGTTAACAGGTGTTACATAAAATTGGGTTCCTTGGTCAAATAAGTTTGAAAAAATGATGTTTTCGGGGCCGGCCCTGTGGCGTAGCGGTTAAGTGCACATGCTCTGCTGCTGGCGGCCCGGTTCGGATCCCAAGCACGCACCAATGCACCGCTTGTCAGGCCATGCTGTGGTGGCGTCCCACATAAAGTGGAGGAAGATGGGCACAGATGTTAGCTCAGGGCCAGTCTTCCTCAGCAAAAAGGGAGGAGGATTGGCATGGATGTTAGCTCAGGGCTGATCTTCCTCACACACACAAAAAAATTATGTTTTCTTTGCTGTGGGACCTTTCAGGGCTTTTAAGTGCTAGTGAGTCCCCTTAAGAGTGAGATTTCATCACTTTCTTGCCAAGAGAACATTTCAGAGAATTGTGGTTCTAAGATACCTAGTTGGGGAAACACTGGTTCAGAGCCTTCCTAATAACTCAAAAGAGAAGATGTGAAAAATTCAAGTGAGTATCACAACTGAAAACGGTCCCATTTCTCCTTTCTCAGTTAGGACCCATCTCAGGATGTTGCCTGACATTGTTGTTTTTGGCCTTGGGTCCATTTGACCTTGTACCATCTTCCTGCTTTCATGTTTTAAACTTCTCTGTCACTAAATTTTGTTTTCCCTGCTTCATTATGAATTCTCCTTCACTGATTTCATCTATGGGATTAATATTTATTATTGACAACTAGTATTATTCTTTTAAAATAAAAGCTGTTTTATTTGTGGAAAAATTCACTACAGCTCATACATATCACTTTGTTAATGTTTTATCACCATTAATACCTTGATAAAAGACACATTTACTCAAGACACCTATCAGATCTCTTACATAATCCGCATTGTTTGTTGTATTTA